AAGTAGTGGAGCAGAAGGACATCAGGTTGGTGCATGATCAAAGGTACTGAAGGTGTCCAGGTCTGGAGCAGGATTGTGTGCTGGAAGAAGGGTGTTGAGAACCTCATTCTCTGGGTATCAATTCATTCAAAGTAACAGAGAGCCAAAATTCATCCGTGGAATAGTAGTCCCATTTTGAGAGCTTCTGGTCCTGCAAATGCCCTGACAATGTCAGTAAAAGCAGGAGCAGCCCAAAGCTCCCAACCTGTCCTCAGTGGCACTGTGGGTCTCTCAAAATGCTGGAGCTGAATCCACTGTTGGAAGCAGCATAGCTGTGCCAGTACAGTGCTCTTGGGGCTGACATGCTCTGCTTCGCAGTTGGACTAATTAGTCCAAGCAGAGAAGCTCATCAGCATCGTTACCTGCTTCTGGGGTGGCACAACTGTGTTTCCCCTGGCTCTGGAGCTGGACAGGTTGATAGCTGCTGCCCTGACTGTACCCCACTACATCTCTGCACCCCAAAGCAACCCCAAATTACTGCAATTTATGGCACAGCTCCCTGTGGTATGTGAGCAGCTGAGGGGTCAGAGGAGGAAGGTGGCTTTGTGTTCCCAAGAAGGACTTTGTTCAGCATCCCAAAGGCAGGGGATCAGTTTTCCCCTCTACCCCCTGTCGTTACCCCTCTGGACCATCACCCACTGGTCAGTGCCTCAAAGGGCAGGAGGCAGCACTGCCAAGTGCAGTACAGGCTGGAGAACTCCAGCAGCTTTAGTTCTTCATTTGTCACAATTCTCTGGCAAAAGTGACAGTCTGGGGAAGCTGTGAAGGCTTCTGAGAAGAGATATTGCTTCTGTTAATTATCCTACATGCATGCTCCAGCCTTTTCTAGTGTTTGCCACTGGAGAGAAGAGCTCATTTAGAGAAGGGAAAGGGAGGGAATAAAGCCATTAAAAGAATAGCTGTAAGCCTAACGAAGAGATAACAAACGACAGAGCAGCAGAATGCTAATGCCATGTCCTTGGCTCCTTGTGAATGGACCTGTACAGCTCATTGGAGCAGTTCTGCTCCAGTGGGCAGATCTCTCCCCAAAGGATTGTCCTCTGCAGCTATGAAAAATGTACAAGACAGGAAAGGAATCTTTCAAATCCCTACATTTGTTAGGTCAACAGCCATGTCTGACCTCTCCCTGCTTTGACAAGGGCTGAGAGGTGCTGCTTCCTTCCATCCAAGGGGATGCAGAGTGGGTGTTAGTGCTAGCTCAGGAAGCTGTCAGGAGATGGGAGCTGTGAGTCAGACCAAGCAAGCTTTGTCTTCATCTGGTCATTTGTGACCTTAAAACTTGTTTGACTTTACATTTGCAATGGCTTTTTCCTTTTAAAATTGATACAACTTGTTCGAAAAAGTAAGAAAAGGTGTAGAAAACTCTGCAAATATAACAGGATTTCCCAGGTGAGCATTAGTGTTTTCTAAAGTCCCATTCTGCCACTAAACCAAATGTATATATTTTATTATGTGTGTTCATATATCATACACATTATTTGTGTGATTCCAGTAGCATTGGTAATAATTGTAACATCATTACCTCCCCAATAACCTTCAGGCAGTTTCCCATAAAACACTTCTGAAACCTCCTGAAATAACAACTAAAAACCAATGGTGAAAACCACTCAGCAACATCTTGATTTTACCTGCTGCTTTGGCTGGGAGGAGGGAAACAGTGCAGACAGTGTGAGCTATGGAGAGAAAAATGCTACTTTTTCGGGTTTTTTAAGTAACAGCAGGTTTATAAATACAATTTTGCCAAAACCCCAAGAGAAATACGTGACACATTTTGCACGTTCCTGCTGCCAGATGAAATAACTGGTGATGATGGGATTAACAGCACAGTTCTTGCATGGAGATACCTGGTAATAAAACCCTGGAGTGGGTGTTTGGAACCCATGCTCAACATGCCACACCATTAACCTCCTTGAGACACTTCCCAGGTAGCCAGAGAAGAAAGCTCATTAATACCCCTGGGTTATTTTGGAATATCTCATTTCAGATCAGCATCTTTCTAACTGTACCTTGCTGTCAACGAGGTGTTTCACTGGGGTCTGGGATGCCCAGGACAGAAACACACACTCCTCCAGCTACAGCCCATCACAACTGACTCCCCACAGCAGCACAGCTACTCCTTCATCCATAACCCACCTCACTTTCCCACTCCTCTGCCCAGATTACCTCCTTTCCATTGCCTCTCCAACTAATCCAAGTCAAAAAACTGGTACAGACATTCATTTCATCCAGTAAGGCAGTTCACTGCATCTAAAAATACTCCAGGAAATTGAATCAACATTCCATCACAACTGACTCCCCACAGCAGCACAGCTACTCCTTCATCCATAACCCACCTCACTTTCCCACTCCTCTGCCCAGATTACCTCCTTTCCATTGCCTCTCCAACTAATCCAAGTCAAAAAACTGGTACAGACATTCATTTCATCCAGTAAGGCAGTTCACTGCATCTAAAAATACTCCAGGAAATTGAATCAACATTTTGTGCTGGTAACA